GGAGGCGTTAATTGAGAAGCAGGTTACTGTTTTACCAAGATGTCCGGTATGCTGGGGCGGGTCTGAAACTATGGAACATATGTTCCTTGAGTGTGTAGTTGCTCGGGCCCTTTGGGATCACTTTGGGTTGGCGCACCTAGGGGAAGGGTTGCCGCGGCATACCTTCCCGCTCTTTTTGAAGAAGGTCTTGGCCCTTGTAGATCGGAAACCTCTGTTCATGAAGGTGATTGTTGTCCTGTGGAGAATTTGGCGATCTCGTAACTGAGTTGTCTTTGAAGACAAACAGTTTGGGATTGCAGCCTTGTTGCGGCAGTATAACCAACAGGTCTAGGAGTGGGCTGGCCTCCCTAGGAAACAGTTCCCTACTAGTCCCCGACCAGTGGCTCATGTGGATCCAGCTATGACGATTTGTATGTGGGATGGAGCAGTTAGAACTGGTTTGCATTCAACAGTGGGGATGGTCTTCTTGACTCCAACCCCCGAGATACTCCTTTTCCAGGGGGGGTGCAATTCCCGAGAATTGATGACCCACTGGTAGTGGAGTTGCTGGCTCTTCGGGAGGCTATCTTGTGGTGCTTGGGGCGGGGCTTTTCTGTGGTACGATTCAACAGCGATGCTCATGTGGTTATTGAGAACCTCTGTAGGGCGGAGACTAGAGACAGCAGGGTTGGGCCCATTCTTGAAGAGGTCATCAATTTGTTTGCGGATCATACGGGGTTTAGTGTTCGATTTGTAAGTCGGAGGAACGATAGGGTAGCTCATTTGGTAGCTCGCAAGGCCCTTTCTTTGTACCCGACTACGAGTCGTTTCTTTGATTTCCCGGCCTGGCTGCATTCTAGGATGTAATTGCCTATTTTTCAATCAATATATGATTATCTTTTGTCAAAAAAAAATTGAGGATTCAACATCATATTTGCAATCGTATTTGCCCAAGAGTTGTGTTGCAACTTTAGTCACACAGAACATAGTGGGATTATATGGAGAACACACTACAAGATTTGGAACAACATTGACGTTTGATGGGTCTTGGGCAACTGGATGGTTATTTACACACATGGGTGACTCATGTGAAGAGAAGTGGACCGGAGAGTGGGAGACACAACCTAGTTCAAGACTACAACTTCCCTGCGAATAGTGTTGAACATAAGCAAAGAGAGGAGCTTTGGCGGGGTTCTAATTTTCTGATGCGCTGATTTTAGAAGACTGGGATTAAGTGCCCATTTCTTGATTTCTTCGTGGAGGTGGTGGGACTAGGATTTTGCAAGCACGTTTATTGTTTCATTTTACAAAACGAGTCAATTAAAATTACCTATACTACCCTAGATAATTATAATTGAATCAAAATAAGTCATTTCAGAATTCCCCGCCCAAATTGCTTTATCCAATTTTTCTGCTGCCAAACGGATCAATTAACGAGACAATTGTGCCAGATTGATTCATTAGAATTCTTCATCCAAACGACACCTAAGCTATGTCTGGAGGCCCACGAGTGGAGAAAAGTTGAACCGAAGAATCACAACTAGTGGAATCACAAAAACACGTGTCAGACGAGTATTAATTGAGGGTTTATTTGTTATTTAGACGTTTTATGTTATGTTGGCTATTTCGGGATTATTTGGGGTTAAATCGGTTAGGTTAAGTCTTTGGGTATATATAGGGAATTAGTAAGTCAATTCAGAATTCCCCTCCCAAATTGCTTTATCCAATTTTTCTGCTGCCAAACAGATCAATTAACGAGACAATCGTGTCAGATTGATTCATTAGAATTCTTCATCCAAACGACACCTAAGCTATGTCTGGAGGCCCACGAGAGGAGAAAAGTTGAACTGAAGAATCACAACTAGTGGAATCACCAAAACACGTGTCAGACGAGTATTAATTGAGGGTTTATTTGTTATTTAGACGTTTAATGTTATGTTGGCTATTTCGGGATTATTTGGTGTTAAATCGGTTAGGTTAAGTCTTTGGGTATATATAGGGAATTAGTCGAATTATATATATTCTGTGTTAGGCCTAAGTTAGGGTTAAGTAATAACAACAGAAGTTTTCCCTACTCTCTCTCTCTCTCTCACACATTGTTGAGCCTCCCCTCTCCCTCTCCAAACCGTCGGCCACCACCCCGGTGACCAGAATCCTCTTCTCTCAACCCTAATTCCCAAATTCTACCTCACCCAAATCCCTAATTCTCATATCAATCACGATCCCCAATCGGACACCTAGATCCGTGCTCTTTCAGTGGTATCAGAGCCTGGCTAGTGTGCCAATTCTCTGAAGAAATACTGCAGTCTGAAGATGTCGAACCCTGTGGACAAACAACAACCGCCGCGCCAGCACAAGGAGGTGGTGACAGTCAAGGATGTGACGACAAACAAGTATGACGCACTGGCAGCATCATTGGAGAGCCTGACAGAGGTTACCGTGAGGGCAGCAGAGGCCTCGAAGGGCTCGATCGGAGCAATCGAAGCCATGAGCGACCAGATCAAGGCTTCCATTGAGGATATGGGCAAGAGTGTGGCTGAAAAAATCTGCGAAGCCCTAGCAGCGACAATGCAGGAGGTGCTAACCCAAGTTCTGAAGAGTCGGGAGCCGTTGGCGATCCCAGCCATGGGTGCGGCACCGACAACATCAGCCGCGGCGGGGATGGCGCCGGCAGAAGAAGCCGCGGCGGGGATGGCTCCGGCAGCAGCAGCCGCGGCGGGCTCGGCGGCTCAGGAGGGCAGCGGCGCGACGGCCGCGAGCAAGGCGGAGACGCCGCGACGGCGCGGGCGCTGGACGGACCGAGACGGTGGCGCGCCGGAAGGAGGAGGCGGCGGAGGAGAAACCGATGGGCGGCAATGACGAGGCGGGGGCGACGCGGGTCTTGGCCGCGATGGGCGGAGCGCCGGGGAGTTTCAAGGGGGATGGAATGTCAGACGAGTATTAATTGAGGATTTATTTTTTTATTTAGATGTTTTATGTTATGTTGGCTATTTCGGGATTATTTGGGGTTAAATCGGTTAGGTTAAGTCTTTGGGTATATATAGGGAGTTAGTCGGATTATATATATTCTGTGTTAGTCCTAAGTTAGGTTTAAGTAATAACAATAGAACTTTTCCCTACTCTCTCTCTCTCTCTCATTGCCGAGTCTCCCCTCTCCCTCTCCAAACCGTCGGCCACCACCCCGGTGACCGGAATCCTCTTCTCTCGATCCTAATTCCCAAATTCTACCTCACCCAAATCCCTAATTCTCATATCAATCACGATCCCCAATCGCACACCTAGATCCGTGCTCTTTCAACACGACAATGGAAGGATGGTTATGATGTGGAAGTTAAATTTAATTTTTTGATTGCCACGTCATCAATTTAACATTCATACCGCCACGGACGATAAATCTAACGTAATTAGCCAATGACCAACGATGAAATAAAGGCGAAAGTGAGTGACTAATTAGAAATGATTTTTTTAAGTGAAATATAAAAATGTTAAGAAATTGAGTAACTAAACATGTAGGGGTCGTTTGGATTGAGTATTTGACAAACATGTTATTTGAGGTCAATTACCACATAATATAAAACTTGTTATTTGTTATGTTGAGCACTTCTACTATACTATATAGCATTGGTGCTTTAATGTACAACTTGAAGTTGTACCATAACATTAAATGTATAAGTTTAGGTTGTACCATAAAGAAATTTGTACCATTATGTTATGGTACAACTTTACAACTTGAAGTTGTACCATCAAATAAAGGTACAAGTTCAAGTTTTACCATAAAAGAATTTGTAAAAAAGTATAGGTACAATATGAAGTTGTACCATAACGTTAAATATACAATTTCAAGTTGTACCATAAAGGCAAAAACCTATAGCACCAATACTATATAGCATTGTAAAATTCCTCTGTTATGTGATATTTGGTCTCAAATATGTTAGGTTTAATACCTTAGTTTGGCCCGAACTATACCCAAACTTTCTATTTTGGCCCGTGGTTTTCGAAATTGCTATCCTGGCCTGAACTATGTATTATACTTGCTAATTTGGCCCGGAGTCGAATTTGACCGTCAAATTGGACGGTCAACAGAGTTGACCATTAGTCAATGGCCAGCTCACTTGCCACGTCAATCAACACTGAATAAAAAATTTATTTTTAAATTTCTGTATTATTTTTTTAGATTAATTTTCTTTTATAATAATAATAATAAATAAAAAAATTAATAAAACCCCAATTTATTCCCATCCCTCTCACTTGAATTGGGGAAAACCTTTACAGCCTGTTTGGATTGACAAAAAAGTAAGGAATTGGAATTCCATTTCCAATTCCATTTCCATATATTATGTTTGGAATAATAAAAAGGTTGAGAATTGAATTCCAATGGGTCTAAGATATGGGAATTACAATTCCAATCAAAAGTGATAGGAATTGAGAGAATGAAGATGGAATTAGTGGGACCCATCAATACTTTTTATTATTTTGTTGACCCACTATCATTTTACTCTCTTTCTCTCTCATTCATATTTCATTTCCCAAAATAAAACAAACATATTACATTATTCATTATGGTTAAAAGTGCAATTCATTTCCATAGTTGTAGGAATTATACCAAACACTAGAATTGGAAATGGAATTCTATAAAAATAAAAAATTGAATTCCATTTCCATTTCCATTTCTTCCGGAATTGTATCCAAACAGGCTGTTAACCTATTCAATAAAATTGGGGAAAACTATTAACCAAACCCACTTCTTCCCCCCTCATCCCAAAACCCAAATTCATCTTCTCCTCCGCCATCGACAACTCAAACACCATATACTTATATACATCACCACACAGACCAGATTCCAAACTCAATCCCATTATTGATCAACATCAAAGCACAAGCTCTTAACGATGGGATTAGTCAAATTTCAATTAAACAGAGATCTCGATGGCTTTGATGTCGGGCTTCTTGACCTCGGCCTTGGGCACCCATACCTTCAGCACTTCGTTCTCCATCCGGCCTTGATCTCATCCATCTTGGCATTATCCGACAGCCTGAACCTCCTTGTCCACGTTGCTCTCCCAGTTGATCTGAAGCACCCTGTCGTCCTCCACTTCCCCCTTCACCTCTTCCTTCCTTAGCCGGCAGATCCACCTTGAACACGTGCGCCTCCGGCGTCTCCTTCTAGTCGATACTCGTGTTCACGAACGCGCTATTCTCCCTGCCGTTGGGGATGAGCGCCGCCGACAACGGGAAGTTCATCGAGAATAAATGTGAGAAAGACACTCTGGTAACCGCCGCTGATTTCCCACCGCGACGTCATCCTCGATGGACCCCTAGTGATTCACGGCGAGGGAGAAATCGGCGCGGCGGAGAGCGGTGGAACCGTTGGAGAAGAGGCGGGGAAGGGTTGTCGGCTGCGGAGGCGAAGGGGAAGGAGGATGGAATAGGGTTTCAGGGGAAGAAGGGGGTTTGAAAAAAAAATTCCCAGGTGGGAGGGGCGGTGATAAATAGGTTTTTTTAATTTTTTTGTTGATTATTATTAAAAAAGCTATGAATATAGATATTCAAAAAATAATTTTTTTTATTCCATGCTCGCTGACGTGGCAAATGAGTTGTCCGTTGACTAACGGTCAATGGAGTTGACCGTCCAATTTGACGGTCAAACCCGGCTCTGGGCCAAGTTAGGAAGTATGATACATAGTTCAGGTCAGTATAGCAATTTCGAAAACCACGGGCCAAAGTAGAAAGTTTGTGTATAGTTCGGGCCAAACTAAGGTATTAACCCAATATGTTATTTGGCAAATACCTGCCCTCCCCAAGTATTCGGCAAACAACATTTTTTGTGTTATTTAGTCTCGAACCTGCTATTTGACATAACATCATATCCAAATAACACATCCTATTTTTTATCAGCTAAACATGTTATTTAAGTTCAAATAACACCCAAATACTCAATACAAACCACCCGTAATTTAATAAAAAATTTCATTTAACTTGGTAAAGGAGAATGAAACATAAATGTTTCTCTTTTGAAAGGAACGGCGGTGGAAAAGTCTAACTCTAACCTGAGGAGTAGGGATGACAACAAAACCCGAACCTACGGGTACCTATCTGATCCAATCCGGTCAACGCGGGTAAAACCCGTGTTGACGGATTTTGGGCCGGGTTTGGGTTTCAACCCGCTACACTATTCACCGGGTTGGGTTGGGTTTGGGTTTAGATAAACCCGTCTGATGGGTACCTGCCCACACACATATAATTACTTTCTCGGTATATTTAATATTCTAAATAATATATCTTCCTTAAACAACTAATATTCTTTATGTTTCTGGAGACATGTATAATTTGTTCTTTCTAATTGTTTAGAATGAAGTTGATATTATGAAGTGGAGAGTGAAAAAACTTAGTTGACGAGGAAGAAGCTTTCAATTAATCTTATTGTTTATAGATGTTATCTTTAATTTTGAACAATTTGTATTGATCATTTGCGGTTTGCTTGTATGCTCTAGATTGGTGTTTTTTGTATGAATAATTTGTATGAGAAGATTGATATTAAACTTTTATTTTGAAAGAAACTTATTATTGTAAATTTTTTATCACAAAAACCCACGGGTACCCATGAACCCGCGGATACCCAGCAGGTTGGGTTGGGTTTGAGTTTTTCAAATCCAGCGGGTTTTACCCCGAATTCTTTTGACGAATAAATCCATGGATTTAGGTTTGGGTTTGACAAAACCCGCCCAACCCGACCCAGAGCAGCCAACGCCAAGTCGAGGGATTGGGTTGGGTTTGCTTTTGAGAGTTCCGCTCTTCTCATAGTCGTTGATGAACGCGTTCGAATATTTCTTTTCTTCCTTGTCCCTTCTTCCTTGTCTGTCTTTCTCTCTCGAAGCTATAAAGTTGGTCAGTTTCTTTCTCCGTCCGTCTGATACCTTGATTCTTTCTTGGCAACTAATTCGCTTCACCGGGTCTTTAATTCGTGGCTGTGTTTCTTCCTTCAAGCTTTCAGGTAATGAAGATGATCCTCAGATTCTGAATCTTTCACCGTTTCTCACTTCAAATTCTTCTTCCTCTGCCTGCTACTTGTTTCTCATCGTCTGGGTTTCCGCTAATCGCTTTGCTTTCTGGGTCAACAATATTCTTCGTCCTACTCTATCGTATGAGTGTTTTTGCTGTTAAAGATCCTCTTTGTGTGCCCCTGCCTTTACATATCCCTTTGCTCTCTTTGAATTCCTGGCCTTGTAAAGTTTCTAGCTGTTTGGTTGCTGCAAAGTCTGAAGGTGAACCGAAAAGAAGAAAATTGAGACTCCAAAGGTGTGATATGTGTTGTCCGATTTTGTGCTCTTCTGCTAGCTTTTTTCATGAATGAGAAATCCTGACCTGATGCGGGTGAACTGCTCGATATTTGTAGAAATTGAGCCCCAAGTGTATGGTTGTTCGGTTATTCTCACAACTATTCCCCGTTTCTGTTTTGTGTTGCTTCGCCGCCAGAGTCGATTTCTTATTTAGTAGGAATCCTTTCTTTCCTCTGACCTCTAGGATGCTTTTGTACTGCGACAAGGAACGGCAGTATTAGCATCACCTTAATCGTAGTCAGTTCAGGATTCTGCTGTTTATGTTAGTTGATTTCATTTTTTGTATTATGTGTAGGGACTTCGATCTGGTAACTCTTTCAGCTGCTACACGTTGAAATTCTGCGAAATTCACTTGCCTGTAAAATATGTTTAACCTGACAAAATCTCCCCTAAGGGTTGGCAAACATAGCAAGGTTGACCCACAATATCCGCCTCCTTCACTTGGTAACCCATTTGATTCTGATGATGAGTTGGGTACTAACAAAACCTTGAATCCCTCCAAGAGATCTTCTTCAGAGCCAGACCTCACTGCACCAAGCTCTTGTACCAATCCATTTGATGATTTTGAGGAGAAGGGAACATCTTCATCGTCTTCTTCCCATCCTGTTGCTTCTACCGCAAGAAACAAGTATAAGAATGATTTCCGCGACTCAGGAGGAATAGAGAACCAGTCTGTGCAAGACTTGGAGAACTATGCTGTTTACAAGGCTGAAGAGACCACAAAGGCAGTCAATGGTTGCCTGAAGATTGCTGAGGATATAAGAGAGGATGCTTCTACGACTTTGATTACGTTGCATCAGCAAGGGGAACAAATCACCAGGTCGCACATTGTTACTGTTGAGTTGGATAATGATCTTTCTCGGGTATGTCTCAATGTTTCACTTATGCCAACTACATGGTTGTATATAGCTTCAGTAATGTCTGGAACATGAGTTAAACAATATTCCAGTGATATATGTGATTCCAATGCTACTTTAAGACGTTAGTCTTTAGGAACTTGTGACCATTCTGCTAAAGCACATAGTATGTGATATAAATCAGGGTATGTCTCATTGTTTCAATTCGGAACATGAGTAAAAAGTATTTTTCAGTGATATATTTGGCTCCATAATGTGGTTAGTCAGCTAAAACACATATTATGTGATATAGATAAAGATATGCCAATATAGGTACTGACTTACCTGCTAAGTTTGAAACAGCAGCAATTAGGTTAAGTGTCTGATATCACATAACGACAACTGTCTAAAATTGTATCATTTCATTTACATTCTGCATGTGCAACTTTGATTTGATGCGTCTGCAATTCTAATTTTGTTTGGTGCTGCTATTTCATTTTGCACTTACACTGTGGCAGCTATGGTTTCTGCTTCACAAATTTATGTAGTATTGTATTAATATTTTCATTCACGTGTTCAAATTATGGTTGGAGAACATTACGTTTTGGAGATTGATATACTAATGTCGAAATCATGTCATGCTAGAATAGGATAGACAGATGCACTCTGCAGATATGTACACACTTCATGTTGCTAGCTACTCTTGCGCTTGACATTTGCATGATGATGGGTTTTTTGCAAAGATACGAAGGCAATTAAGTTTCCTTATGATAAGGAAACATAATCGCCATTGTGTTAAGGAATCAAATGATTTGGAGTTCTGGTCTGCTATAGCAGGAACTTTGTTGTTGTTTCCAATTGTGCCACACTGGTTGATGCTTTATTCTTCTTTGCTTGTTAATTTTACTTCTTGATTTTTGCAGTCTGAAAATTTCTTAGATACTTGTATTTACACTTCAGTTTGTGGATATATTTTCTAAGTTTCTAATGATGTGAATCTAAGAACATGGTGATCATGTTGGTGTCTATTGCAGGGTGAAAGACTTTTAGGATCCCTTGGTGGCATGTTCTCTAAAACTTGGAAGCCAAAGAAGACTCGTCCAGTAATGGGGCCTGTGATCACCAAAGGTTTGTGCTTCTGCCACCCTTCTTCTGTTTCCAGAACTAGTTTTGGATTTATTTCTTGTATAGGAAAATGTCGACCCAAGTACATAACCTGTGATCCAAAATAAACAACTTGGACTTATCATACTAATCCCAGATAAACGGATTTACGTGAAAGCAAGTACGGAGGTGCAAGACTACAGGCTCAATAATGAACTACTGTTTGGCTAAACATCTCTTTACTAGTTTTCCAAGAGAGAGACCCTGTTGCTACCTCTCTGCTTATATGGTCTCTTATGAGTTGGGCATCTATCTAGCTTCCGGAAAGGGTGCCAGGAGGACAAAACTACTGTTTGTGCTGTTAGGCGCTGTATGAAGAAGCATCAGGCAAAAAGTTGTACAAAAGCATCAAGTTTTCAAAACTGTACTAAAATGAAGTTGTTTCTTGGTTGCAGATGAATCTCAAAGGAGAGGTAATCATCTTCAGCAGAGGGAAAAGTTGGGTCTGAGTACTGCATCGAAGGGGGTGTCTAACCCACGGAAGCTCCCAGCCAAACCAACAAATGCATACCAGAAAGTTGAGGTCTGTGTTTAAGTTTGTCACCTTTCTTACTGAAAGAGTGATTAAATAAGGAAACTAGTTAGTTGAAGCAACGAGAAAGAAAATGCTACTGTTCTACTAGACGAATATCTGAACCTGCTTGCGGTTACTTATTTATTAACATATTAACAGAAACACTTGTGTGTAATCAAAGCTTGGAGTTGTATAGCAATTGGTTAGGATTGTTGTCTCAAAATTAACCATTGAACTATCTGCAATTTTGCTGAAACAGATGGAGAATGCCAAGCAGGATGATGGACTCACAGATTTGAGCAACCTATTGGGGGAGCTGAAAGATATGGCTGTTGATATGGGAACTGAAATAGAGAAGTGAGCTTCTCCTTCCTAACATCTAATCTTGGTGCAATTTTTGTTTTTAACTTCTGCTCCTTTTAGTCTTTCCCTTAGCCTGCTTGGTGCTCCATCAGTAAGCAAAATTTAGTAATATGATAATCATTTTGGATGGTGATTGCAATACAGGCAAACCAAGGCTCTGGATCATTACCAGGATGATGTGGACGTGCTAGATATCCGTGTTAAGGGAGCCAATCAACGCACTCGTCGTTTGCTGGGGAAGTAGTAAACTGTTGTAGTTCTTGTTGAATACTGTGGACCTGCTGGCTGGTAGAGATGTTTACTCTTGCTCATCTTCTCACTGTATCTCTCACCTAAGTGCTTGAATTGATATTGGAATTCAAACTCCTGTTTAATGGGATGGTACATTATCTTTTATATCAAACTGACATTGTAATTGATACACCATTTATTCATCTTGACCATCATGGCTCAGTGTCCAGCATTAGAGAATCTTATTCGCACTATTCCTCAATTTATGTTGAGCAGTGGTGGTAATGCAGTGAGTGGCAGTCTGGAAAAAATGTTTGTTGTTAATGCACGGGGAAGGGGGGTAGAGTTAATAATATCAAGCAGTTGTATGAATTTATCACTCAATTTAACACCTGCAATTTGTTTACTTCACCTCTTAATGTTTACTGCCTACTACTGCCATTACCCAATAGGACTCTTGACCATTTCAGATTCAGAACACACAACTAACTAATCCAAAAGGGAAGAGCGGGAAAAAGGGTGTTCTGTTCTTTCCCTCTTCTCTCGACTATTGTCTATTGGGGAGGAGAGATAGTGGAGAGGCCCTTAAAATCTCGGAGCCTGAATGACACCAATAAATGTGGGATGAATGATTCGGTAGTGAAAGAAGCATGCTACTGTTTGTTCCATACATCAACAGTTTTCTTCTCAATCAAACTATTGCCTGGGTTTACAGTTTAATTCAGTTTCTAACCTCAATTGGTCAACTTAATCGCGATGCAGTTATTGACAAAAAGAAATTATTAAAAAGTAGAGTTACTACTTTAATTTGGGCCAAACTTTCCACTAATAGACTATTTTGGTCCGAATTTTCTGAAATTCCTGTGTTGTCGAAAATTCTAAACTAATTTGCCCCTGCCCGTGGGTTGTCTCTCAACTTGACTATTCGTGTTGAATTGATTATGGAAGTGTTGTCCTACATGCTTAAGACCATTAAGGATGCTGGGAAATTCGAAGGTTTCTATATAGAAGAAGAGAGAAAGATGGGTGAAGTAACTGATAGACCGTCATTTACACATGTTTTTACCCTCATACTTACACCGTTTGAGGTGTTGATTCTCGTGTTTTAGGCCGATTTCACGCTAGGTTGTGCTTGTTTGTGTTATTTCAGGTCCTAGTACGTGAATGAAGGCTTAGGAGCGAGTCTGGGGTCGATTGGACGAAGAACGGACGAAGGGCGAGCTTTTGGAGGAGTGCACGGCCGTGCACCTGCCCGTGCACCTGGGGAAATCCGGTTTTAGTGCCTAATCCGAGCCAAAAGTTGGAGGATCGTGTTTTGAGAGCAAAAACAGAGCCCTAGAGAGAGAAAGTGCGAAGAACTCATCCTAGAAGCCGTCTTGGAGCTGGATTTCATCAAATCGAGCCTGGAGATCGTCATAGGAGTGAACATCATCGTCCCGGAGCAGATTATCCTCATCGTTATGAGTATGACTAATCCGATTCTTGTTTTCTCTTCTCTCTCTATGGAGTAGAACCCTTCTCTCACTTGGGTATGAAGAACCCTAGTTCCTTGTGTTAGGGATTTGATTGTAATGACTTGGGATGATATTATTGTTTGATTTTAATCGAATGACGCATGTTTCATGAATTGATTTGAGTCTGATCAGCTTGTCTCAATTTCTGCTTCAACCTGAGATAGATAGGATCTGATTAGGTTGTTAGAGCTTCTTCATTCGATAGTAGGAGATTGGCTATACGAGAGTTAGCCAATTTACTGCTTTGTACTGGTGTTCTTGACGCCAGTAGTGGAGTTCTGTGTTCATAGCCTCAGCTTTCTATCCTGGTGAAGACTAGTCGTCTGCCGGGTAGTTATACTGAGAGGGCTTGGTCAGCTTAAGAGATTCCAAGCTACTGTCGGATCTTCCGCAGTCTAATCAACAGTAAATCAACCCAGGGAATTGCAATTGAACCTAACTAAGGGGCTAGGGGGACTCAATCCCGAGTGACTCTTAACTGCTTTTGAAAACCGAACCATTTCCTGCTTTCTTACTGCTTTTGCGTTAAACAACAATCTCTCGAACTAGTTTGCTAGATAATAGAGAATCACGGAGTAAGCAGTAGATCTAGACCCCGGGTTGATAATTAAACTTGCCTGTTACTGCATTCCCGGACTGCGATTGCACTTGGTCGCAGTTTGGTGTTGTGTTTTGGCGTGTCAAGTTTTTGGCGCCGTTGCCGGGGACCCTCTAGGTTATTGGAGAAACGTGATAATTTGTTACTCTAGCTTTTTATTTTCTGCATTTTCTTTCTTCCACCTGTGTGCCTTCACGGGTTGCTTCTGCTGATTGTGTGCAGGTAGTGCATGACCCGTAGCCAGTCGGGAGATCTACTACCACTTGACCAGGAGCTTGAACGAACCTGCAGGAACTCCAAGCGGGTTCTAAAGGCGCGACTGGCTGCGGAGAAGGCGCTGTCACAGCTGTAGTTAGAAGAAGAAGAAGAAGGAGAGATGGGTGATCCGCAGAACCATGCTGTGATCCCCGAGGAGCAAACCATGGGGTCCTACTGGGCCGCTAGGGCTGCGGACATGAGGTCACCTATTCAACACCCTCAGGTCCCAGCCAACAACTTTGAGGTGAGCACCTCCGTGATCACCATGCTGCGCGGTTCAGTAGTGTTCCGTGGTAAGGAGGGAGAGTGCCCTCGATCACATCTCAGGCGATTCCACGAGCTCATCGATGGAATCAAGATCAATGGGGTACCAGCAGATGCCATCCAGCTGAGGTACTTCCCATTCACTCTGGAGGGGCAGGCCAAGGAGTGGCTAGACACTCGACCTCCGGGCTCCATCACCACGTTCGCCAACCTGGCGGACAAGTTCCTCACCCGCTACCATCCTCCATCCAAGACAGCTGATCTCCAGAAGCAGATTACACATTTTGCTAAGGATGAGGATGAGACCATCAGGGATGCATGGGAGAGATACAACAGCCTTTTCCTCAGGTGCCCCAATCATGGTTTCAACGATGCATTCAAGGTGGGCACCTTCTATCACGCTCTCTTCCCGGAGGACAAGCAGCTGATCGATTCGGTTTGTGGCGGGAACATGCTGACCAAAACCCCGCCACAGCTGAATCAACTCTTTGAAGAGATGGCGGAGAATGGTTATGATTGGGGCACTGCCAGGAGATCGAGGAGAGCACCAGGCCGGGGTGTGCATGTTGTGGGCACCCAGTCATCTGATTTGGTGCAGGTAGTATCGAAGCTGGTCTCAGCTATCGATCGTTCCGGGATGATTCCAGGGACCGGACAGCAGCAGGCGATGCTCTGCCAGTGGTGCGAGAGCACCCATCATATGGTGGAAGACTGCCAGGCGATGAAGGAATCGACCACACCCCAGGAGCAGGTGAACTTCATCAACAATGTCAGGCGCAATGACCCCTACAGCAACACGTACAATGAGGGGTGGCGCCAGCATCCTAACTTCTCCTGGGCTGGGCCAAATCCCAGACCACCACCTCCACAGGGACCACCGGGCTTCCAGAGGCCACCATATCAGCCCAGACAGGGGCAATTCCAGCAGCCAGGTGCAGCCCCTGCTGCCCCAGTGCAGAACGATAAGATGGCTGAACTGCAGGACTTGGTGGGTTCTCTCGCCAGTGTTAGTGCTCAGAAATTCAACACCTTTGAGCAGTTCATGGAGAAGGCCTCGGGTCAACTCCTGGCTCTGGAAGCTGGTCAGAGGAATACACGGGCTGTTTTGCAGGATATCCAGACCCAGCTGGGGAGCGTGGCCCAAGCAGTGGCTCAAAGGGCGCCTGGTACTCTACCAGCGCAGACCATCCCTCATCCTCGCGACCCCCACGAGACTGCCAATGCCATCATGACCAGGAGTGGCAAGCTGACTGTTGATCCCCCTGCTCGGGAACCGGCGAAAGAAAGCCCTGTCGTAGCATCTCCAGCGGTGGAACACGAAGTAGAGAAGGAGGTTGAGGTGCCTGCACCTAAACCGCAACCAGTAGTGAAGGAGTATGTCCCTAAACTCCCTTTCCCTACTCGGTTGCACAGAGACAGGCTGGAGACAGAGTTCGAGAACTTCATGGCCATGCTCAAGAAGCTGAATGTCCAAGTGCCCTTTCTTGAGGCACTATCGCAAATGCCAAAGTATGCGAAGTTTCTGAAAGAGCTTCTCTCAAAGAAGCAGAAGCTGAGTGAGCTGGCCACTGTGGAGCTCAGCGAGGAGTGCTCGGCTATTCTGCAGAACAAGCTGCCGCAGAAGAAAAAGGACCCAGGTAGTTTCACTATCCCGTGCTCTATCGGTAAATTGCATGTAGAGAAGTCCTTGGCGGATTTAGGTGCTAGTATCAATGTTATTCCATATAAATTGTTCATGAAACTAGGCCTAGGTGAACCTCGTGCTACTAGGATGACCCTTCAATTAGCTGACAGATCGGTAGTGCATCCTAGGGGTATAGTGGAAGACCTTCTGGTCAAGGTTGGCAAATTCACATATCCTGTGGATTTTGTTATCCTGGACATCAGTGAGGACACAGAAGTGCCTCTTATACTGGGAAGGCCTTTCCTGGCCACCGCCAAGGCTCTCATAGATGTGCATGATGGGACCTTGGTTCTGAGGGATGGCGAGGAGCGAATAACATTTTCTGTTGCTAACACTATACCTGATTCGTTACCTCTGCATGCTGTATCTCACCAGGAGCACGAGTCTGTCGTGTATCCTTCTGTGCTGCCTGTTTTGCAGGACCCGCCTCTCACATCTTCGCCGCCACTCCGGACCACTCCATCATCCAAAGAACAGGTCAAGGAGGAGTGGCGGCCGAAACTGCAGGCAGCTAAGCCTGCTCGCACGAAAACCGGAGACCACTATGAGCTGGTCCCGCCCCCACCTTGGCCATCCGAGTATTCACTCGCTTGCATCCTACCGGATGGCCAAGTCGAGCTGGCAAATGCAGGTGGCCACATTCGTCGTGTACATGGCCACCATTTGAAGCTGTACCTCAAGAGCGATGTGGATCCGCTCTTGAGGGCACCTGATCCTACACTTCCCTGAGCATCCATACTGGCGTCCAGCTAAAAGACGGTAAAGAAGCGCTTGTGGGGAGGCAACCCCACCGAGGTTTGCATTTTCTTACTCTTTTTCCTTTGATTTTGTGTGTTTTTGAGTCTTGAGACGTTGATCTGGAGTTTCGTGTCGTTTTTGAGTGAAAACAGGTTGATTTCGGGACCCCAGCAAGGTGCACGGCCAGAAAATCAGCTTGCACGGCCGTGCGCCTTGGCTGGCCTGGCCGTGCGA